ATATATACTTGGGTTGATTTCTCCATGTTGTATTCTATTCTACTGGCATGTTTGTCTATTCATGTGCCAGTATCACACTGTTATAATGAAAAAGGCTTTAAAGATATTTTAATGTTTGGTAGGGCTAGTCACCTCTTATAGGTTTCCTTTCACAATGTTTTCCTGGCTATTCTTGTTATGTTTGTTTTTCCATAAGAACTTTAGTATCAATGGGTCTAACTCCATTTTTTAAAAGTTTACTGGTTTTATTGGGATTGTGTTAAATTCATAAATTAACTCAGAGAGAACTGACTTGTTTATAATGCTGAATCATTCTATTCAAGAACAGGAGACGTCCTTCCATTTGAAGAAGTGTAATTTTCTGTCTTTTATGAGTGCGTTAAAGTTTTTCTCATATAGATTTTGTATGTTTCTAGTAAATTAATTTCTAAGTATTTGATCTTCTTTGTTATTGCTGTAAATGGATTTTTCTCTACCACTAGGTCTACAAATTGTCTATCATTTGTGTAAACAAAGGGTTTTGGATTTTGTGTGTTTGTATTCTGCTGCCTTGCTGAATTCTTTTATTGTTTGAGTCAGTTTTATCATTAGGAGTTTTTTGGTAGAGTATCATACCATCTAGATATAAGTTTATTTCTTCTTTATCAATTCTTATGCCTGTAATTGATTTATTTTGTAAAATTGCATTGATTAATCCCTCTAGTATGATGCTAATCATAGCAGAGATAGTGGGCATATTTGCCTCATTCCTGATTTTAGTGGAGCTACCTGTGTGTTTCCCCATTAAGTAAGATACTAGCTTTAGGACTAAAGCACATATATTTTATCATCTTAATGGAGTATCACTCAATTCCTATTTTCTTGTGCCTTTTTATAAAGAACGGGTATTGAATTTTATTTTATTTTATTTAAAGCCTTTCCAGCATCTATGGAGATAATCACATGGATCCTCCTCCACCCTTAGATCTATTAATACAGTATATGATACTATATCCTGTGTTGACCCAACCTTCCATTCCTGGAATAAATCCCATTTAGTCATGGTATATTAACTTTTTAATGTGGTATTGTGTTCTGTTTGCTAACATTTAATTTAGTATTTTTTGCATCAACAATCATTAGTGATATTGGTCTGTAGTCTCCCCTCCCTTCCTCCCTTCCTCCCTTCCTCCCTTCCTACATTTCTTCCTTCCTTCCTGTCCTTATCAGGTTTAGGTATCAAACCTTTATAAAAGGTTCATAGAAGAAATGGAGAAGTTCGACTTCATTTTTAATGCCCTGAAACAATTTACAAAGCATTAGGATTATCTGGACTTTGAAGCCTTAGTAGAATTCTTCTGGGAAACCATCTGGGCCTGAAATCATCTCCTTTGCCACACTTGATGATGGAGGACTCCCAGATGGGCTTTAATTAGGAGATACCCCTTGAATTTTCAACTGACAGAGGGTTTTAAGCTAAATTGGCTGGTCAGTTTCCTGTGAGTTCCTCTTGGAGAATTTTTGATATAAATCAAATGTCAAGAAACCAAGCATCCCCTCTTTCCACTTATAGGAGCTATGAGGCTACATTGGAGCCATCGCCATATGTCACCAGACAGATGACACTGTGTTCCTTAAACATGTTACCTATCCCAATGCATCCTTAGGATTTCATGACAGTGCCCTGGGGTACTTCATCACACAGTTTGGGAACCAAAGGTATATAGCCTTCCAGTCTTTTTTCCTATGCATGTATATATACATACTCCCATATACGTTCATAGATTTTTTTGAGATCACATTATACACTGTTTAAAAATCTGATGATAAAATATATACATTTTCCATGTCATTATATTCCTCTATAACACTATTTTTGATATTGCATTCTATCCTATGACTATATCAGAATTCATTAAACTAAGTCTTTATTGTTGGACTTTTAGGATATTTGTAATTATTTTTCCTATTGTAAACAGTGTTTTGATGAACATCCTAGTGAAGAAATCTTTGCATACACTCTTGTTATGGCTTTGTTAATCCTAGATGTAGAATTGCTGGATCAAAGGGTATGAATATATTATAGTTTTGATTGCCCTCTGGAAAGGGTATGACAACTTATACTTCCTCCAGCCTTATATATAAGTATACGTTATAGGCTTTTCATTTAATGGTAAGAGATTTGTTAGAAGTAATTATGAATATAGATTGAGATATTCATGTATTTTAGGCACTATGCCAGGCACTTTCATACACAATTTAATTGTATTTACATAAAATTGTATTAAGTCTTCTTAATAACCTTGTAAAATTGAAATTATTATCCCCATTTTGCAGATAAAGAAACTGGGATTCGGATATAATATCTTTTTCCAAATCACACAACCAAAAAGTTGCAAAGACGAAATTTAGACCCATAATATTATCACTATATCACTGATACCTCATGGACTTGATTGGCTAATAATAATAATGATGATGATGTTTAATACATAATGAGTGCATATCATGTACTGGGTACTATTTACATGTATTAACACATTCGATCCTGATTTCAAACTTATGAGGTACTATCTACATTATCCTTGAGACACTGAAAAGATTAACTTGCCCAGAGTCATACAGCTAGCAAATGGCAGAGCTGGTATTCAAATTCTGGCAGTTTGGCTTCACAGTCCATGCCATTAATAACCAAAGTACAATATAACAGTTTGTAGAGTTGTGAAAGATTGTGTATCAGACTCTCATTATGAATGGTTTTTTTTAAGGAGGAAAAACGGTTTACCTAAAGTCTCATAGATAAAAGAAGAGTTGTTGTTTAAGAAAATGTCTATACAGCAATTTGGCTGTAAATTTCCTGTCCCTATACCTGCATTTTTTTCTCTTACAGCAATATATGGCCCGTATACTTAATGCATAGAACTATGTTCTAGTCTGAGTCAGCTCCAGGTCTGAGGGATATAATTTGAATAAAAAATCCTCCAAATTAGTAGCTGATGGATGGTCACGGGGATGGGAAGCATGGCATAGGGAATACAGTTAGTATTAATACATTGGCTAGGTGGAGGAGGGTCAGGGGAGGGAGGGAGCAATTGGGGGGATCGTTTTACTAACTATATAGATATCTAACCAATGTACTGAATACTTGAAACTAATTAAAATTTAAAAGCAAAATCCTCCAATGAACCTGGTGACCCAAACTCAATTGAACAAATGAAATAGTTAAAATTTCCCCAGCTTACTTAGAAATATTAAGTATTATCATTTGAAATGGATAAATTTTCTGAAGTTTATATAAGTATGATCTAGACTCTGCTCTTATTGAGATTTGTTGGGTAAATGAAGCACTCTCATTGCTATTCATTGTTTTAAGCCTTTTCCTATAGTCTTCCTTTGGTATTTAAACATTATTAAAAATTATGCAGAATATGATGAAGGGTAATATTTTATGTCATTTCCGTAAATGCTCAACATTCTTCTCTCCCATCTCACCCCCCTCAAGAAAACCAACTTAATGAGCCACAAAACATGTATAATGAATGGGAAAATATTTTTAGCATTTTATGCAGAAAATGCCTCATTAAAAGCAAATGCTTCAGCAAGCAGATTTGAGGTTAATATGAAGTTTTGTTGAGCAGGGACTTTTATGACAAATCACTAACATGTGTAACTGCTCTATATAAAGACCAAGAAAGCCCTAAGAAGATCTTATCTTCTTTTCTTATCCCTAAGCAGCATTGAAGCAATGTAGTGAGTGTGACATGGTACTCGGTAGACACTTCATGAGCCTGAAGGACATGAAGCCTACCATCCAGCTGCAAGTAGGGAAAATGTTTATATATTGTCCAATATTGTTCACTGTTTTATCTGGATATGTTATATCATGCAGATTAATTTAGATGAAGTCTGTTCATCCGGATGTTTGGCATCATGTGACCAAAATAATTTGCATCTATTTTGCATATTATAAAAGCCATAAGGGTGCAGGGTTTATAGTCATACGTTACAAATTTAATTTCAAATAAAAACCTCAACATATAACCACACTGCTGTAACTTCTTAAGACTTTGGGCTTCAAACTAGAATGACAAGAGAACAGGGGTCCAGCCATTTGGGTAGGCAGTGTGCTAATAATTTTAGCAATGCCCTGCTCAGAGGAACAAAGTGCTCATTTGTCCCCACTGACGCCCCAGAAGGCACACCTGGGGATGGTGTTAGCAGTGGCGACTGATAGTATTTGCAGGTGTTCTGAGTTGATCTCAGCTTCATCATCTGTGATCCATGCTTAAGGCTTGGGCTAAGTGATAGCCATACCCACCCAGGCAAGGCTGAAATCATCAGCAGTGATGACATCACTCTGGTAATTGGTTACTCTGAAGGACTAACCTCCCCGATATAATGAGGAAATATGAAATGATAAGATGAATTATCTTCAAATGGAAATTTTTCACATCATTTCAGTTCTTTCCCAGGTTACCCCACTGAGTTAGGCAACCTATCACCTGACTAAAAATAATAGTAGTGACTGTAGAAGTTTACATTTATTGAGGTCTTACTCTGTGCCAGGCACTGTGCTAAGTTCTTTCCATGCTTTATCTCATTGAACTCTCAAACACTATAAGCTAGGTACTATTCATACCCCCATATTAGAGATGAGAGAACGGAGGGAAAAGAAGGTAAGTAACATGCCCTAACTCTTTCCGCTTGTGTGCAGAACTAAGATTTGATATGTTTCTCCCCTGATTTTAGAGTCCTTAACTATCATTGCTTTACTGCATTGTGCAACCAGTTAACTAAAAAAAAAAAAAATCACACACACACACAATAGTATCCCCAGCCTATTCTAAAAAGAGGCATTCCTTTCAGAAATGAAAGGGGAGAAAATGAAGTTGTTCCCAAATGCCTATGATTTGTTCTCTCAGGCAGCCTGGCCTCCTTCAGTAGGAGGGAACTGACTCTCAAGACCCACTTGTGCTTCCTGATGAGCAAGGACGTGGCTGCCAGCTGGCCACCAAGCTTACCGTTAAGAAGTGTCGGTCCTTGACTTCGCGTCTCCTCTGGCTGTGAGCTGGGGGATAGGCTGGCAGTGGCGGGGCTGCAACAGAAAGGGGGACAGTGCCTCTCTGCTCTCGGCGATCACTTCGGCTTCGATGTTCTGGGGGCAGAAAAAGCAATAATACAGAAATATACTTGGCATTTTCAATTTCTCTTGTTCCCTTGGGAGGATGAGCAAAGGGCTGGGAAAAAGCAAGGTTTTGCTAATCTAGTTCATTTGTATACCAAATAAAATTTTCAGAGTGGCTCCGAACTAAACTTCCATTTCATGTTACTATGAAGTTGGACACATACATTTTAGTGGGTCCATCTCATCATCTTTATACAAGATGGTGCATCTTGAGTTTGGAAAAAGCAGTATATTTCTCAGTGTGCCTCGTTTTAAAACAAGATGAGCAAAAAAAAATTAAAAAATCCAGAACAATGGTGGAAAATGTGCTGACATCGGTGCTGGAGTGTACAATAGGCAGAGACACACTAGAGCCACCTGGGGAGTGCTGGGGACAAATGCTTACAGCCATTCAAGGGGTGAGGGAGCCAGTTCATACAGGCTCAGGGGTACTGGGTGCTATGTGTTGGTACCTTGAAATAGGCCACGGTGAGAGCATGGCAAAATATTGGTAGGGCTATATATCAGGGCTTTTGTTTATTTACTTTATCACTTTTTGTTTGTTTAGAGAGTCTGTGATCAGCACATCATTGCAGCTATCTAAGCCCTGTCGCCTACAACACCCAGAGGGCTTTGAAATCCTGGGCTCCTAGAGAAAATAAAGGAATCCCAATGACAACATTTGTCTGATTTAAGAATAAAACTACCACTGGAAAAAGCCAAGAAATTTCCATGTGTGGAATGAAGTGGTCCTGACTTCATAGTAAAAATCACTGAAACGCTAAAAGCATAATTTAGCTTTCTGGGTATTTCAGTGAGCCCCAAAGCACACCCAGCTCAACACACAGGCCACACCAAAGGCCACTCCATCTTCCAAAATCCAGCCCATACTCATGTCCAGGGCCTGAAATCTCATAAACCCCTCATGACCAAGGTACAAATTTGTACAGCAGATTTCTTAATCTGCTTCTCTATTATTTAAAATCACCATTATTCAGCACATTAATAATAATGACTATGATGCCCAATATTTACTGAGCAATTGACATGTGCCAAAGATGCTTTGCTAAAGCTCTTATGTGCAAGATTTTAACAACTGCGTGAAGTAGGCACTGACACTGTCTCTCTTTTGCAGATGCCTAAACAGGAGGCTAAGTCACTGCTGAGCTATCAGTGGTACACACTTGGCGCCAGGACCTTACTCTTGAGTACTACTTGACCTATAGGCACTGTAAGGCCCTAACAAACCTTCTCACCCATCAGAGCAAGACTGCTTGGGTTTGATAGTATTTGATTATAATTATATTTTATCACATTCTAATTCTTTGAACATTGATGATATAGAATATTTGGCATCTCATAAAACACAGCTTACTTTTTTACCCATTAGGGAACAGAACTAACTGTACTGACCCTCTCAGGTGACATGGCACCTTTCTCCAATGGCCTGATAGTGCCCAGTGTCCATTTTATCTCTATCATACTGATAAAAGTCAAGATGTCTCCATATATTTGCCTCCTTCACTAGGAGGATAGAGACTATATTTTATTTAACATTCAATCCCAGGGCCCTGCCGTGCTTGAGACATAGTGAGTTCTCAATAAATGTTTATTCAGGGACTGAAAAGAAGAACAACTTAATATTTTTATTAAATTCTAATGTCTTTTAACATTAGAACACACTCCATACCCCTATCTTTGTCATCAGCTGTGTTGTCAGTGCCCTTGCTGTTAGGTCATTGTCTAGGTCCTGTTGCCTGTTCCACTCCTTAATGCTGGCCCCTTTCCTGTGGTCAGTGTGGCCTCCTTAATGCTGGCCCCTTTCCTGTGGTCAGTGTGATTTGGCTGTCTGTGGCCTCCCTGCCTGAACTTCCAACTTCATCTATGGCAACAAAACGTGGTAGTGTTCTTCATCTTCCCTTGCTTAGGATTCTTTAAACAAATGTTGACTGATTCCCATTTGCAACCAGAAAAAAAGTCCTCATCACTATGTAGATAGTCTTTGCTAAACTGCCTCTGCAGCCAATGTTTATCAGGAAGGCTTTTTGAGATAAATGTCTTCCTTATTAAAGTGCTTACCTCTACTACCACATTCATTTTTCTCTGTAAGCAAACAGTGGGTTTTTTTCTAAATGGGCAGTGCAAGGAAAAGCTTTGACATTCTTAAAGTCATAATAGAGAATAGAATATAAGTGTTGCTGGTTAGGAAAAGGTGGAAGGAAGGGAGGAGCCTGGAAGGAGACATCAACTCAATTTCCCATTCAATTGTTCCCCTGCTACACTTAAACATATCTCTTTCATTCACCCTAGGCCAGGAGTAGGCAGGCTAGATTAACGGCTCCCTAATAATACTTTTTTTCCTGGTGGTGGGGTGGGGAGAGCATTCATCTACTAGAGCCTGAAATTGAAGTACACTCTTGGTTCTTATTATCTTAGACCAATGGTACTTAGACCCCAGCCCTGAAGCTTGAAAAGCAAGGAAATACAAAATATAAATACCTTTTTATAGACATCTAGTAATCTCCCCCTCACTGTTTTACAAACAGAAACAATGGGATCACTTAAAGCCATTATTGGTTCTGAGCATAAAGATTTATGAAGAAAAAAAGAGAAAAAAAAAGAATAAGATTCTAAACAACTTGAAATCCATTAAGGTGCTACTTCCTCTGGGGAGCCTTCCCCAAAGCTCCATGGCATGATTAGTGCCTGTCCTCTGAGCCTTCATATCACTATGTTGAAATTACCTGGTTACTTGTCTCCCTCACTAGACCAGGAATTACTTATGGGCAGGAACCATACATTATTGCTCTCCGAATCACAGGTTTAGCACAATATCTGGCCCTCAGTACACTTTGTTGAGCGGTTTGCTATTGAGCAGATCTTGAAGGCAGCTAATTTCTAGGTTCTAATCTTGGTCCCATGGCTCCCTCCTTATAGCCTCATCTCCAAAAGTAACACAGAGCTGCTGCCACCGCAGCTTCACTTGTCTGTGCTTCATTATCCACATTCTCCTGGTGGAAGCCAGGATATTCCAGCTGTCCAAATACAGAACCTACAGAGAAGCTCACTGCGGCATTTGCTGAGCAAGGCCGTTGTCTGATAGGTCAGTACTACTCATGGCCACCAGATGGCAGAAGTGGTATTCTGATGAATGCACTGCTAAGCTACTGTGTTTCTTGGACAAGGTTAAAAAAAAAGTCACTTTCTAATTTTAATTCTACACTGCATGTTTTTAATTCTATGATGCCTATAATTCCTGTTTATAGCTCTCTGCAGTGCTATTAAAACTACTACACCCAAGATTTGCTATTGAGACAACCACAAAGCCCGCCAGTCTATGGAAGCAAGATGCAGCTCCAGGATCTTCCTTCCCAACCCCAGGAGGCCCCAAATCCCTCTCTCAGACCCCAGGAGGAAGTTGGGAGAAAATTGATATTGGCACTCGCTATTCCTCAGTTCTGCCATTAAGTCCAAACCTGACAACACAGTGAAATGTGAAAGCTTACAAGCAGCTTAATGTTATCTGGTTGAATTTGGAAAAATCTAATCAAGGATGACTTATGGATAATAATAAAAGGATAAAAATAATTATGGCCAAAGGGCTAACATTACTCAAGCTCTCTAATGATGGGATCAGAGAAAGTATTTAGTGAGAATGATCAGATTCCTCTGTCGTCATTCTATGCCCTCAACACTCAATCCATTTTCTGCAGAATTTGATTCAGTTGCACAAACATTCATTGAGGACCTATTATATGTCTGGTTCATGCTAAGAGCTTAGAAAAAAATAAAAAATATCTTTGCCCTTGAGTAGCTCATGGATTAATGGTAGAGGATAGGCTTGTAAGTGTTTAGTTATGAAATAAGCTTATAAGTGACACGATGCGAGGATGCACAGGATATATAAGAAGGATGCCTAATCCAGGCTGCAAAAGAATGGCAAGAGTGTTAAGGAAGATTTTTGGAAGGTGGCTTGCACCAAAAATTTCATAAAGAAGACCTTTTTAGCCAACTATAACATCAAAGTGAATAATAAGAACGCCAGAGATACTACTAGAGAATACTCATTATCACTCTTCATTATAGTGTCACAGCATCTGCTACTAATAACTAAGGGGAATTTTTAGAAAGAATTGCATTAGGGATATTAGTAGATTAGCTCCTTCATTAAAGGGGAAAAAGGCTGGGAATAGGGAAAAAGGGAGAAGTCATATTTATGTTGAAGAAAATAAGCTAAAACATTTATCATTTTATTTCTCCATCTTGATAGTGAGTTTAAAAAAATTTATTTGAACTTTAATACATTTGCAAAATACCATTCCTTAAAGGAGCATAGGGGAATCTAGGACAAAGACATTGAATGTACAGACACTATCTCTCTCCACAGCAGAAATCCAAAGGCCAAAAAAGCAGGCAGGCCAACTTCTGATACCCAATCTAGGGGATAGTGCCAGTTTTTAATCTCCTTGTCCTAATTAGAATGGTTTTAAGGCACTGAAAAGTAATCAGTGTAAGAAAGGGCTGTTATCTTCTATTTTGACTGCTATGTACCTATCTCTGGCTTTCTAAGGACTGTGAGAGAAATAGAAATAGAAATGTTTAGTTATTTCACTAGGATACCGTGTATGGTGAGGAGGAAAAGAGCTCTGGCTGGGGATCTGGAGGCCCAGGTCTGGGTCCTGGCACCATATGTAACCGGCTGTATGTAACCCTGAGCAAGTTTTCTGACATTTCTAGGCCTCCGCATGCTCCACTGTAGAATGGACCAGATCACTGGTTCTCAGCAGGAGCAGAAGAGCCCCATGAGGGAGGTTCTGGTTGTGAGATGACTGGGCAGGAGACAAGGATGATAGCCATCCTACTGGGCATAGGACGGTCCTGAACAATGAAACAGTGCTCCAGGTCACACAAATAACCCACCAGAATTTATTATAAGGGAAAAGTCTAGAATCTATTTCTGAATCAAATCTAATTTTCTTTTAGTTATAATCCAAGGTTGTTTATTTTTTTTGCTCATATTTAATATACTCTAAATGCACCAGTTTTATAGTGTGTCCTCCTGCCCTTTGACTCCTTTATTTCCCTATATTTTTTGTTCAGAATGGCTTCTGATTGTCTTTACTTAATCCAAAACTACTTTTGATAGGTGCAAACATCTGAATACTTTGTTATGTTTTTTAGTGCAGTCAGGCCTGGGCATTTGCATATTGCAAATATTATTCTTATACCCATCTCTCGATTTACGTGGTATTTTTTTTTTACATGAGTTTTTTAATATGTGGTAAATAGTCACCTTATCTAGGCGGACTTTTTATATGCAGTTTCCATTTGCACAGTCTCATTTTACGTTATTCTTTCTTTTTCGTTTCCATTATTGGCAATTACTCTTTCTAAAAAACAATAGCTTAACTCAGCAGTGTATAAAGAACTAATAATTACTAACATGCAATTATTAATGAACTTATAGTTCACTGGATGGCAAATAAAAAAGCATGAGTGACTACTGATGTTTTTCAGGATTGATTTTACCAAAATTTTGCTGTAGAAGCTGAAAATTACGTGCAGGAAAATGTCTTCCTTTTACCTTATTTATTTATTTGTTTTTTAGGCGAGGCAACTCTTGGTTGACCTCACAGACTACAAGGACCTTGTCAGTTTACAATCCCTTATTTTTTATTTTCATGCCTACAGCACCTGATCTTCTTAGGTGGTCTCCCATCCAAGTACTAACCGGGCCCAACCCTGCTTAGCTTCAGAGATCAGACAGAATCGGGCTTGTTCAGGGTGGCATGGCCATAGACTAAATGTCTTCCTTTTAAAATGCTTTTAAATAGTGCACCTGGTCATCCACAATTTAGAACACCCAAATATAAAAGTTGTATATTTGCCACCAAATACAACTTTCTTGATACAACCTTTAGATCAAGGCATTATTTCCACCTTTAAGATTAATTATATTAAATGGAGTTTCAATGATATTTTTAATAAACTTGAAGATAATGAATCACTTACAGTTATGGAAGCCTGGAATAAGTACACAATTTAAGCTGTATCAAAAATATTGCTTTAGCTTTGAGTGATATGAAGCCGTCAACTTTAAATGCTGGCTGGAAAGCAATATGGCTAGAAGTGGTTGTACCAGGGAATATGGTGAATATGGTTCCAATAACAGAAGAGAGATTAACTGGCATTATTAATTTATTAAATAAATTTAAAGAAGGCTCTGACAATTTGACTGTAGATGATATTAATGAATTACTGATCACGAATTAACTGATAATGAATTAAGTCATTTAATATCTGAAGCCCATCCGGCCAACAAAGACAGCAGTGACCTTGAACCAGTTTCATTCACTACAGAAAATATTTACAAAGCTCTTCATTTGGTCACAAAACTAGAAACTGCAATTCTAGATCCAACGAACCTTAAAATTTCGAACAGATTTTTAAAAATGTTGTAGTGAATATCAAAGAATTTATGAAAACTTAGCAAAAGATGGGGTTGGAAAAAGATCATCCCAAAAACATAAACATAAATAATGAAAGTGAAGTAGTACTTCCAAATATTTTGAGCGATGAAGATAGCGACTTTGTGCCAATTAAAAAGAGGTTGATTGCTTTAGATTACAGTACAGACACCGACAGCAAATATAATTTATTTTGGTTTTTCCAAATTTTCATTAGCATTTTTTGTGACAATATGTGAAATATTTTTATGACTTATATTGGCCTATTTCTTTAGTATTTTTTTTTGTAGTGGTTGACTCTTTTTACACGGTTTTCTTTTCTGTAAGAAAAAAGACACATTGAATGGATAATCCGCATAAATCAAGTGATGGGTGTATAAATAATTCTCCTTTTAAATTCTCTTTATTTTTATATTTAGACCACAGTGCTACTTTAAATTATGTGTATAGGTAGGTTATATTACCCATGAATTTCATATCAGGGTAGAAAAGGGAGCATTTCAAAGTACTTGCTATAACAGAGGGAGGTATTGGGACTGATGGGACAGAGAACAACCCTTGGACGGGACGAGCTCTGAGTTCTCCCCAAAAAGCCCCCCAAGCCCGGATCAGTCACCTCTGCGCAGGGCCTGCAGGCTCTGCCGGGCGTGGCGGTGCAGTTCTTCCACACAGGGTGGCCTCGTGGTTGGGAGAAAGATGTTTCTCTGCTGGTGCCACGGTGCGCGGTAGTACACACTCAACTTACTTTCGATATCCAGGTTAGAGACAGCTGCAAGACAAAGAAGGAAACAGGAAATTATACATCAGTAGCTTTAAATTGTGCATTTGGCAGACTCTGGGGTGGGGAGGGGAACAGGGGTAGAATCTGGGTAGAGTGTAAGTCCAGACTGCTGCATCTTCATTGGGAACTCACTCAAGGCTAGAGAAAGGTTTGAAATTTACAGTACAGAGAGGAACAACCTTTGCCCCAAAGCCAACGGATGGGAGACCCCAAAACATCATCTGCCTGTGACCAGTTAACTTCCTCTCCACACCTTCACTTCACACTCTCTCTGACATAGTTGCTCATCACCCTGAACAAGTCCCTGGCCATCCATGCTAGGGGATGGGGTAGGGGTCCTGCCTTCCAAGAAAGCAGAGAAAAGCCAAAGGGATGAGTCCAAAAGGTGGCCTCAGCCCCAGTCTTCTGGCTGCAGGGCCTCAGAACTATAGTTTTTCACATCCACTCCTGAAGCCCACCTGAACTTTACCCCTCACTTGCCCGGCTTTCTGTCTCCTGTGACTCTTGGCTCTTGACTCTCATTATCTAACCTTATCCTCCCTTATACCTGCCAACTCCTTGCCTGCCATGTCTCAAAGCACTTCTCAGCTTCCCTAGTTTCACCCAAGGGAGAACATAAGCATTAAATATCCCATTACATGGGTGATAGGTGTTAAGAGAGAGAAACCACAGACAGTGCCGGTGAGGATAGGGGAATGGTCCTTGCAACTCACCCAAGAGATCAGGTTAGGAGGCATTTAACCCACTATGACTTCTTCATGTATACACTGAACCTAGGGTGGAGATCACTCATGAGTCAAAGGTAAATTCTTGTGGAAGGAGCTGTTCCTAATCAGGATTCTAATTAGGAAATTACTACATAGGGGAACTCTCGAGCACCTGAGCAGCCTGCCAGCCTCAGAATGGTGAGTCTGTCTTACCCTCCAGACCCATTGTCCAGACCAGGTCCCCGTCTTGGGCTCACTCTGCTCCTCCCAGTCTCATTGCCTCTGTTTTTTTTTTTCTCTTTTTCCAAGTATGTGATTTAGGGGTGTTCTTCCCAACTGTTCATTTCTGTGCCCCCAACAGAATTTTGGTTTCTCTCTGATCTTTTTCTTTCTGAGGTCTGGTCTACCATTTCACTTTGTCTGGGAAGCTTGACTTAGAACAAGATACTCTACAGATAGAGTAGAAAGGCAAATGAAAAAGAAGGGCGGGTACTTTTGCAGAAGGGGAATAGAACAAAGGAAACTGGGAAAATGGAACTTTTGATAATTCATCCATCCCCAAGTATTGCATTTATGGCAGTTATTTTTGATTTTGCTTTTGATTTCTAATGCAGTCTTCAGTAGTATGTTTTTCTAGAGTAATGCATCATACCTACAAGGAGCACCAATAAAAACAGACATATTTCCAAAGATGCTAAAGAAACATCACATGGACAAAATCAAAGGGAAAGAACCATCAATGCCTCTAAAACAGTGCCATCCAATAGAAATTTTTGTGATGATGAAATGCTCTATGGCTGTGCCATCCAATGAGGTAGCCAGTAACCATACTGGCTATTAAACACCTTTTAATTTTTATTTTTTTAAAAAATATAAATTAATTTGAATAGCCATAAATTCGGTGACTATTGTATTGGACAATCATAACTATAGTCTGTTATATTCTCTCACCTTCAGAAACAGAGCAGATTACTCCCTTTGACCTAGATTTATCCTTCTTTGGTGTTTAAACAACAAGAAGAATTTAAGCCCAAGGGCTAGAGATCCCAAGATTATCTTCCTGGGCAGGGAAGAGAACTTTTATGGGAGAGCTCTCTGGGGCCAAGAATAAAGGTAGCAATTTTAATTACCCTATACCATTCAACCTGTTCTTTGGAAACCATAAGTGCTTGGTGAAGCAGTCAGGAGTCATTGGAGACAAGAAAACCTAGGAGGAATCGCTGAGGGAGAAGCCAACCTCTTCAGGCCTCAGATGAGGTGTGGGATGCCTTGGGGCAGAAAGGATAGGTTCCAGTTGGATCAGAGCTTTCCTTCTCTCATATATAAATAGGGGAGAGTGCTGAAAATAGAGACTTTCGCTCTCTCTTTTTCTTTCGTCATCCTCGGAGGAATACTCTGGTTCAGTAATCAGGAGGACTAAAAAGTCAGCCTCTCCCTGGATGCAGAAGTTAACCCCCACCCAATAAAGCAGAGGTCATACCAAACCCCATAAAAAATGGCTGTGAATTCATGTGCTAGTGACAGCTGAGAGAAAGGATGAAACAGAAAGCTTGCCTAGAGGAAAGGAGAGGCAAGAAATTCAGTGGACAGTCCCAGAAGTAGAGGGGTTTCTGAGTACTTCCTTTCTTAGGCCCATCTCTTCAGGAACCAGGATTTGGGACTGGGCCCAGATGACTTGGGGATAGAGTGAAGATTCTTAAAGTCCTTCATTCCCTCAGCACCACGGACCAGAAACCTAGAGTGTTAATTTTTGATAGCTTATCAGAAACCATGTCAAGCGGCTATGGCTGTTCAATCTTTATGTGGGGAAGAGCTGAGCTCCTGCTCTTTATCTTGATGCTGATCTCAAGAAAAGACTCATCAGAAGTGCTTGTGAAGAACACAGATTCCTAGGCTCCAACTTAGACTTCCCAAACCAGAATTTCCAATGGAGAGGCCAGTAATCTGTATATTTGAAAACTGACCCAGATTATTTTTTATTATCAGGCAAGTTTGAGAAACACAAAATGTTATCTGATAATGCCTTGGGATCTTGTGAGAGTGAAGAGAGATAGGCAACATGGGGGAAGGGAAGAGCTGCTGAAAATGGAAACATCCACTCACCCATGGAACGTTTTCTAAATAGCTATTATGTCCCAGGCACAGTGCTATGTGCTGGGATATAGTACATGAGAAAACACACAAGAATCATTACCTTCATGAAGCATATGTTCCCTGGTTCTGTGTGAAAATGATTTAGGTATGATTTTACCTGGAAGCAGTAGGTTGGGAGAAGTGACCTCTGGCAGACTCTTCTAGTTGTAGTATGATACAATTCCCTTGGGATAGTCTAAGACTTCTAGACTCTAAAAGCCATAAACATTGAAAATATTGTAGTCCCCACTCCTCCATCTTCACCTCTCTGTGGTTGGTATTCCCAAATTAAAGAATAAATTAGTATATCACTAAATAAATGTAAAAAAGTTCAGCAAAATTCTCTTTCCTTCTTGTTGAATATTAAATATTGGGTTATTTGAAAAAAGCATTTTTTTGGTGCCCCTGCTTTCCTGATGTCCTAAACACATTTTTACTGTGACTACTGGGCAAGCCAGAGCTGAGTTTCTAGGCTGCTAAACTTGCCTGCTGCTCAGGACTGTGGATTTGCAGGTGCAAAGACTAATGCATGAGTTCCAGCATGGGCAGTCCAGTAATGGCTTCTGGGAAGAACCAGCTCTCACAATGCCAGCCTTTGGGGCTACGAATCCTCACCTCTTCCCTGTCTTTTTATTTTTATCTGCTGAGAAGCTGTAACGGATTTCTGCTGTGCATTAGCAGGTGAACATTTCACTCATCAGTTGCCACAATAGTGTTTATCTCTCAGACAGGGAAGGGAAGGAAAACTCTTTAATGCCTTTGCTTTCAGTTTTGTCCTTTGGTTACAGAGCATTAACTAGTATTATGTGTCTACCAGACACAGACAGACAGGCACTAATGGAGTTCTTCCAGGGAAAGCTATCCCATTTTCCCTCCTTAAAAAATCTATTCTTTTTCCTAAACAGTTCAATGAAAGTTGAATCCACTTATTCATAAGCTCACTGTGCCACTGCCATTGCAAGATTGTCCACATCTTCAGGTTAATCCTGCCTCCCTTTTCTTCCCTGTTTAAAAATTTGACCATGCCTGAGCCATGCAAGATACCTGGCTTAGTACTCCAGGTGATGTTTATTCTCATAAAAATGATACAAAGTGAAGCAAGAAGGTTTCTCCCCTGCTTCTCTGGATACATCCAGGGGTCCCTCCATGGTAGGCAGAATTCTAGGATAGCCCCCAAGATTTGATTCCTCCCTTTCATGTGTATACCCTGTATAGTCTCCTCCCCTTGAGTATAGGTAGAACCTGTGAATTATGTTACAATACTTGGCAAAAGGGATTTTAAGATCTTTGAGTTAATCAAAAGAGAGATAATTATCCTGGGTATATCTGGCCTAATCAGGTAAGCCCTTAAAAAAAGACAAGCAGCAGCAGAAATACTCTCCTGTTGGCCTTGAATACCAAACTGCCACAATGTAGAGAAGGCAACTTAGCAAATAATGGTAGGTGACCTCTGGGAACTGAATTCAACTCCCAGCTTCCAAGTCAGCTCATTTCAGATGAACACAGTGACCATAAAACCTCAAGGAATTGAATTCAGACAACAACCAATGAACCTGGGAGAGGCTCCCAGGCTTCAATGAGAATTCAGCCCTAGTCAAAACTCTGATTGTAGCTCAGTGGGACCCTGAGCAAAAGACCCAGTTAATCTGTGTCCAGAATCCTGACCCATGGAAATTATGAGATCACAAACAGGTGTTATGCTGCTAAATTTGTGGTAATGTGGTATGCGACAATAGAAAATTAATACAGCCTTCCACTATTTTATCTACTTCCCTAGACCAGTTGCTTGCCTTACTTAGTACTTGTTCTCTTTTCCCTCTGTTACTGCTCCTCAAGGAAGAAATAGATAATAGCAGTGGTAAACAATGGGAAATAGGGCTATGTGTCTCATTTTTATTCCCTACAGCAGGAAAAAATTATGTGGATGTATCATTTCTCCTGTTCAAGACTGTAGGGTCTTGCAGAGAGCTCCAGCATATGTCAAGCTTTAAGCCATATGCATTATATTCATAACATCATCACGGAACCCAAAGATTATTGTTCCTATTTTACAGGTAAGGAAACAGAAACTCAGAGAAAGTAAGTAAATTTCCAAAATTACACACCTGGCAAGTGGAATATCTGGGATTACAAACCATCTCTGTTTGG